TTTTTTTTTTTTTTTACGGTTATCGTCATTTTGTTTTACCTGTGGCGCAGAAGGGCTCCCCAGCTCCTACTCCCTGAATCCTCCTCCTCCCCTCCTCTTTCTCTCTCCCTCAGACTGCCGGGCGCTCGCGGAGCCGGCGCGGCTCGGCCCGACCTGAAAGAAAACAGGGCGGGAGGGGGTGGCGGTGACCAGCGGCCACGTGACCACGCTCGCGCCGTAAGGACGGCCGCCTCCTACCGCGCGCCCGCCCCGCGCTGCACCTCTCGTAACCCCGCGGCCCGCGCGCCCGGGAGGCTCGTGCGCAAGCGCCTGCCCGGGCCTGGAGTCTGCGCGGGCGCTTCAGGCGCTCCTCCGCGCCAGCCCCTCAGGTGTCCGGCCCTAGAGGCGCGAAAGAGCGCCGGGCGGTGGGGCTTGAGCCCTCCGCGGCCGAGCCCACACGCCGGAGCCGGGGCGCATGCGCACAGGGCTTGCGCGCCGGCTTGCGCTCCCTTCTTATCCGCGCCGCGCCGCTGGAGCAGAGAGCTTGCTGGCGGGTCTCAGTCTGGGGTTCACACTCCGCGACCTTTCCCAGGTACAGGAGGGAATTCAACTCCTAAGATCCTCCTCAGGGTGTGGAACTCATGCCGAGGAATTTATCTTTCCCTGTAAAAGAAACGACTAAACTAACCCAGTTCGTCTGTTGCTCAGATTTACCCATCTCTGCTTTACGGGACTCAATAGCACTTTGTGCAAACCTGCTTTGTAGAATAGCCTTAGAAATATCAGAGAAATCTTTTACAACCCCACGGTGCTAACCTAGGGTTGTATTTTCTCTTGGGCCTAGGACAACTTCAGCCTTGTAGCATCTCTCCAGAGGTCTGATGGACTGTCCATCCGAATGCAAGCAGTGTTTAAACCCTAGCCTTCAGCATCTGCCTAGCCATGATTTAGGATTCCCTTTAACCCAAGCACATGGAATGCTGGTGTTTATTTCCCCAATATGAAAGCCTTTGAATGGTAATGCTAATTAGAGTGGTAAATGCTTCACCTAGTAAAAAAGATTTATGGTCTTATTAGCCTATCTTTACAAAGAGTGCCAAAGAAAATTAATTCTGTGAAATCCGCAAAAAGGAAACTAAGGCAGAGAAAGGTCATATTTCCAGAAGTTATCTTCAGAGGAAGGCACCTGTATGGGAGACTGCTCAAGTGCTCCACCTCACACAGCAATTCTTTTTCGTTGCTTTTCTTCTTGGAAGCTGAACCTGTGGTTAGTGCCCCCAATTAGGTTTAATCACAACAAGTAAAAGTTTAAAACTTTCAAATGAGAGTTCTGGCAAAACTAGTCATTACTAGTGAATACTGAGATGATGATCAAGAAACTAACAACAAAACCCTATAAATGTTAGGGTGTAGTACGTGAAGAATTAGTACAGACATCATGGCTCACTTTCTTTGTGGAAGTACAAAGACTATTCAAAGACTTTGAAATTTCGAACTTTTCCCTCAGCTAGTGCATGATTCTTTGGATGTTGATTCCCTGCATGGACAGCAAGTGGTAGCTCAAAGCCAGGCAAGGTAAAATATTCTGTATATGTTAATGGCCTTTCTCCCCAAGTCCTAAAAGCATCTGTCACCCCAGATCCTCATCTCTTTCCTGACCTACCCAATATTCACCAGATTCTTCTACTCTGCAAAGAAGAGTCAGAATATTCAGATTCCTTAAGGGTTTATTATCAAGCAAAACTGAGGAAATAGGGAAAACAATCCTTATTAACTTTATCCAGGTGGTTCCCATACTGGGAGACCTAGATGGCCTCATAGAATACAATGGCACTGATCTTTTATGCCACAACAATTGTTCCAGGGTCCCAGATTCCCTATGGCTTCTGTCTTTCTGACTCCCCAAGAAACAACCTAAGGTACTGCTAGACCATCAATTCAGAGCATCCTGTCCAGGCAGAGAATGGCCTTCAGCCTAATCTTGAGAAAAGAAACAAGTAATAAAGCTAATGATTAGTAATTCTGTGAAATATAAACATTGTATAAAATTCATTTAGTGTTATGCTACTTCTAATATAATTTATGTGTTTAAGGTAGATTTAAATTAGAGCCAATATTACAGCATTGGTAGATAACAATTATGGCATTTGGTTTTGCAGCCTATGTGCTGGTTGAGTTTCTGCTTTTGATATCTATGTGCCTTGTTTGTCTTGGGACATAGTACCAAGAGTAGCAAAAAAGAAAAACAAACTGTGTTGGGGAAAGGGAAAAATGAAGAAAAGAGAAAAGATTATATACATATATATGATATATTTAAGATTGTTATACAGAGTTTCTCTTAGTTGGTTAGAAAGAAAGTTTTATTCTAATATTTCATAGACAAGATAGCATTCCTATATCCTCCACTCTGAATAACTACTAGGAAGATAGCAATACACAATGTATCAACTGTTGTAACTGTCCTAATAACCTGTTTTGAAACTCGGTTTCATTATTATGTTTATATTTTTATAAAAGGGAAGAACAACTGGGA